ACAGCAAAGTTCCAGTTCCTGATTGGGATTCTTCTTGGGGGCAGCCTGGAAAATCTAGTGCTGATGAGCACTAGAAGGGCCCCACCCCTGCTCAGGATGCCCAGGATGCATCCCATCTCGCAGGCTTTCTAGTCAGGACCCTTGTTTGGCATCCCAGCTAGGCCTGGTGGGGCTGCCTCTGAGGAGGTGGATGTACTTTCTGTTGGGGTTTTGAGCTAGTGTGGGGAGACAGGCCTAGCCCAGGATGAGTCTAGGTAGGTGAGGACAGAGGCAAGGTTGTGGGAAAGGGGCTACAACTGGTGCTTTCTCTGCTAAGAGAGGACTCACAGAGAGGCCACCCCAGAGCTTATTTAGAAGGCCCTCTAATTGAGCCACTCTTTTCTTTTTGGTTTCTTCCCTTTCATTACACTGTGTACAGGGCCACACCCTCAAACCAGCTTGGAAAGGGGCATGGTGCCAGGGAGAACAGCCTGCCCTTGTCAGAGCTGTGGGGCAAGCTCAGGCAGCCTGGGTTCAGTTCCCAGCGCTGATACTTCCTGGCTGTGTGACCTTGACTTCCCTCTGCCTCAGTTTCCTCATGTGGTTTCAGTGTTGATTAAATGAGGGCTCACCATAGAACCTGACATGTGGAAGGTATTCAACATGTCAGGCATTACTGGCCACCGCACCTGAGCGAACCAAGGGAGGGCATTCTGGGGAGGTAGATGTGTTTTTGCTAAAGGGACAGCTGATGGTCTGGGGTGCTGGACATCACTCACCAGTGTCTGGACCATTCCAGGTTTGGATGCATGCAGTGGCCCACAGTCCCCTTTGTCTGGAGCACCACCACAGGTAACAGGGGTCCTGATTGGGGTTTCTATGCCAACTGGTCTCTCCTCTTACCCCTTAACCCCTAAGAGGTTCTCCACGACCTATTGAGATGACGGTGGCTGGGAGGGGAAAGCATCTATACCACTTTGAGGGTATTTCAAGAGGAGATATGGTCTCTTCACATTGCTGTCTGACTTGTGTTCACTTTCTCCAACAGAAGGGGGATGAGGCCGAAGTCTCTTCACCTCACCTTGGCGAGCCTGTGAGTGTGAGCTCTGCCCAATTTGGATGATGTGGGTGTGGGAGACACTGTTCCAAAAGTCTAGGCTAGCCTTGGGCAGCCTGCAAGTTGGTGTACGTGAGTGGAGGGTCAAGGCTGGGGAAGCTAGAAGGTTCCTCTGTTCTGTCATGACTGGAAGTCTAAAGTGGAGGGGGTAAGGAGGCAGTATTCAGTGGAGGTCACTTTCACTATAACCCTATAACCCTGCACCTTCACTCAGGCCACTAGCCATAGACCAGGGGGACTGCTGGGCCTGGCAACAGGCAAGGCTGCTGCTTTTGTCACTCTAGTAAAAATTACAGCAAAGTTCCAGTTCCTGATTGGGATTCTTCTTGGGGGCAGCCTGGAAAATCTAGTGCTGATGAGCACTAGAAGGGCCCCACCCCTGCTCAGAGCAAAGTGCTCAAGGTGATGTCGAGGGCAGCATGAAATATAATCTCATCTAGAAGTGCGGCTAGGATAGAGTCCTCTGGGAGAGTTTCACCACTCACATAAGACAGCCATACAAATACTCCTCACAAAGTGGGTTTCCCTTGGGAAATGAAGTAAGAGTGCAGAATCTTAGAACTTCTGCGTAGTAAGATATCACCTTTGTAAGAATCACCTGATCCAAAGATCCTTAACCTCTTTTGGATCATGGAATTCTCTAAGAAACTGTTGAAAGCTACAGATTCTTTCCCCAGAAAAATACATACAATTTGCACATTTAAACACACATATACATTTGCAATAATTTCAGAGGGTTCACAAACCTGATGAGAAATCTGAGTCCCTAAGAGTTAAGGGCCTTGCCAGGAAGAGTCAAGACTAGAAACTGGGGCAACTGAGTCAAGGCCAAAATTTGTGACTGCCCCCAAGCTGTCCTCTATTCCACTGTCCTCCACAGCTCCCAGCCCTTGGGAAGTTCTTGGAAGATTGTGAATGACAGGTCCCCTTGTCCTGTCTGTTGTATAGACCTCAGACTTGTTTGCAGACCCCCTTTACTGATTCAGACTTGACTGAGAAGCCCTCCCCTTTCACTCAGTGCACACACATACACACAGGCACCTTAGCAGGTGGAAATGGCCCCACCTCTTTCCTCTCCAGCCTGCTTCCAGAGTCCCAGTTCCACCTTGTCTCTTTCAGAATGTCTCCAAAGGGCTAGCTGACCGGAAGCAGAATGACCAGAGGAAATTGTCTCAGGGCAGGCTGACTCCTCGTTCTCCCACAATTGAGAAGTCCAAAGAGATTGCAATTGAACAAAAGGAAAACTGCGATCCCCTCCAGTGCCCTGAGGCCACACCCAAAGGCCCAGCTTCTGGCTTAGGCAGTGGTGGGAAAATGGCCCTGAATAGCCCTCAGCCTGGCCCTGCTGAAAATGAGCTGGGAAAGGCACTTCTGAAGACAGCCAGGGAAGGCAACCCTCTGCCTAGAGGTCCAGCCCAGGGCTCTGGAGGGGTGGCTCCCCTGGGCCCCCAGGGAAAAGGTACAGCTGGAGAGCCGACAGGGTCAAAATTTGGCTCCAAAGCTGAGTTGCAGCCCCCTGCTTCCCGGCCGCCCCTACAGCGGGGGGTCTCCTGGGACAGTGGTCCTGAAGAACCTGGCCCCCGGCTGCAGAAAGTGCTTGCTAAGCTGCCTCTGGCAGAGGAAGAGAAGCGTTTTTCGGGCAAAGCAGGCAACAAGTTGGCCAAGGCACCCGGACTCAAAGACTTTCAGATACAAGTGCAGCCAGTACGGATGCAAAAACTGTCGAAGCTCCGTGAGGTAGGTTCCTGGGGGCCATCTGGGCAGGGTGTGCACTCCAGGTCCCCCTGGGCTGAAGACCTCTGGGCTGAGCTGCTAAGCAGGGCAACTGTGGCCTGGACTTGGGCCTTGTGGGTCCCTAAACTTCCCCACCCTGATAAATCAGGCCCACTGTGCAGCATCTTCTTCATAAATATGTTTCAGGTGATTTTACCGCACTTACCAGGGTGAGGTCAGTGTGGGATATAGTAGCCACACAAAGCCACATTTTAAGGGGAAGGCAGGTGTATGGCGGGCACATGAGCCCTCAGTACTGGGCTGTGTTTTCCCCTCCAGCCAGAGTTGGCAGCTCATAAACAGGAAGCCCTTAATAGAGTGCCTTGTCATGCCAAGGAGGGAACAGCTATTCCCTTTGTCAGGCCCCGGAACTTTCCTTCCTGATGCCTGTTAACAAAGGGCCCCAAATCCATCCTCAAGTATAATGACGGCCATGAGGGGCTGCTCCCTCTGTGATGAATTTCTTCCAGTGTCTGTGATGTCCCCAATTTTCACTGGCCATCAAACCAGGCACAGTAGTCTCTCATGGGGCTGCCACCCTATGCAGGGGGTGATTGGGAGTATCCAGCAATGTAGGGGACAGAGATAGGGTGTGAGGGTGAGAAGAGATTAACAGGACAAGGAATCGTTATCCAGTCCCATTTCCCCATAGGGCCAACCCAGGCTACAGGGACTCCATGGGGAGGGACCTGGCACCCTCACGGCTAAAACTGGACAAGGCTCTCCTGGCTCCCCTACAGAATGCGTGTGACATGGGGAAGGAAAAGAGGTACCTGATAGCAGTCAAGCACAAGTGAGGAGGTTTCTGTGCTAGCAGGGACACATTGCAATGTGTCCTATTCAGAAACCTTCATTCCTATTCAGAAACTTTCCATGATTCTCTGAATTGGAGGCTCCAGGGAGCTGCTAAGGAAACAGGTAAAGGGCCCTGGCCAATTATTTCCATTTGAGCCATGAGCACCCTCTGCTGGCCCCTTCCTTTCCTTCCTTACCCAGGGGGCAAACCACTCAAGTGGCCCCTGCTACGAGGGAGACTGAAAATCCCCTCATAAGCACAAGTCACAAGGGGCAAGGAGATCTGTCAGACATTGGAAGTGCTGGTCTGGTGCTGACTGACCTGTGGTCAGCATCCCCATCTCTCCTGGGCTTTGACTGAGGCCCCAGGCAGTATAGTGGGGCAGCAACTCTCAGGCCTCATTTGTCTGGAGAGTTTAACAACTCAAGGGGTGCCATAACCAGCCACTGAGGAAATGGGGGTAGGACAGGTCACAACTCCTGGAAATGGGCATTCACTGCCCTGAACAACAGGACAGAAAGCTCTAGCGAGCTTGAAGCACAGTCATGAGCTCAACAAAATCATTTCCAGCAGAAGCTCCATACACATCCAGGTGACCACCCTATCCCCAGAGCCTTGGGCTCTGCTTCTGTTTGTCATATAGCTCTCAGCTACAGTGTGGCTGGAGCTCATTTGCCCTGAGGCCCACAGGCTTATTTAAAAGGCAGACCATGCCAAGGACAATTCTTAACCCAAGAAATGTGGTGCTAATGGTGGGGTTTCAGGCACGTTTATGGGCTGGGAGAGGAGCAGTCTTCCAGGTGCCCTTCATATGTCACTATGTCATGACTGTCCACCCACCTTTGAGGCTGCCCCTAGTACCTCCCACATAAGGCTGAGTGGTCACAGAGCCATAAACAGAACAAGAGAAGAGTTCCGCCTGATGTTATCATCTGAAATGTTGTTTTCTTCTTTTCCTAAAAAGGAGCACATCCTGATAAGAAATCAGAACTTAGTGGGGCTCAAGCTTCCAGAACTTAGTGAAGCTGCTGAGCAGGAAAAAGGTAGGTAGGGTTGGGGCAGATGCTCTCCTCAGGCCAGGGCTGGATTCATTTTTACCAGATAAAAGGAGGTGAACATGTCAACACTAGACTTCTGTCAGGGCCTTTGTCCCAGTGGCGAGTGTGGGCCAAACACACAGGAGGCCCTCAGTAAATATTTGCAGATAAATGAATGAATCAGATTATGTTTCCTGCCCACTCAGAGAACCTCTAAACTTGTCTCCTTCCAACCAGCCCCCCTTCCAGAACCTGCCATCCCTCCCTGAGCCTTGTTAGCACCTAGGAGGCCTGGAAGGGTGACCCAGGCCTCAACTTTTGACACTTCCTTTTCCTCTCACACCCAGGAAGTCACTCAAATAGAACAGTTCCTCTTTTCAAGACATTAGAGTCATCTCTTGCTTTCTAATCTGCTGTCACCACAAAGTCCAGACCCCAGCCCTTTCCTCCCTGGCCCGGCAAGTCCCCACCCACCCACCCTGCCAGACTCATCTTTAGAAAATAAGACTTTGGATCTGCTGCCTCCCTCCTGCCCCCCATCTCCTGGCTCACCTCTTCTATGGGTCATGCTACCTGTAGTCACTCTTAGCACAGAAGCCTTCTGCTTAAGGATTATTGTATGGGCATGCCCACATGCCACCAACTATTTTGGAAGCCCTGATCTGAAATATAGTTAACTAACATGTACCTATTCAACATTAACAAGATTCCCAGAAGTAAAATTTCCAACTTTTTTTTAAAGTACTAATTAAAGAAAATTAACCATCTTTAGAGGAAATCTTTTGAAAAAAATATGATATACTTTCTACTTTTAATTTTTAATGTGCTTATTAAAGCAGCTTCAAAACACTAGGAAAAGATTTATCTTAAAATTTGCCCCACAATCCCATAAATTCTGAAAAAATGCAATTTTTATTCTTTCCAGTATTGACCTGCATTTGTAAGTTTTTCACAATTGATTTGTGTAGCTATAATTTCTTGTTTCTACTTTTTGAACTTATTTCATAACTGATTCCATATATTTTGACGTCCTTTTATTTATCATTTAATGGGTGTATCTTTGCATTCATGCATTGATTGCTGGGTATTTCAGATGTTTACAGTTCTTTTAGCCATGATTAACCACCCTGCTCTAAACAACTCTGTACTCATAGTTTTCTTTCTTCCTTCAAGTTATTCCCTTGAACAAATTCTCAGGCTTGAGATTCACTGGGTCAAAGTGTAGAAACATTTGCATTTACCAAATTGCCTCCAATGTAGACTGCTACCTGCGAAGACTGAGTCTTTCTCCGAAGAACTACCAGCACTGGACTTTGCTTTGCTTTCACTCCTTATGGGCCAGAATATAGTAAGAATTAGATAATAAATGCCACTTTGATATTACTTCAACTAATTTGCTAGCAAGCAAGTTCAGATTTAATCATTTTAAATATTTAATTACTGTTTTTTTCTTAGTGGGTAGATTAGCTTTTCATCTCTTTACCCAAGTGTCCATATGGGCCTTGGGTTTTTTGTTGGTTTATTTTTTGTTGGTAATATATGTAAACTCTATAGATACTAACCTTTACTATACTCTTCTCTTGTAATTGATTTCTAGTTTCATACCATTACCCTTGGAAAAGATGCTTGATGTAATTTCAGTCTTCTGAAATTTATTGAGAGACTTGTTTTGTTCCTGTTAACATGATCTATCCTAGAGAATATTCCATGCGCACTTGAGAAGAATATGTATTCTATTGCTTTTGGGTAGAATGTTCTGTATATGTCTATTAGGTCCATGTGGTCTGATGTGTCATGTAAGGCCAATGTTTCCTTATTGATTTTCTGTCTGGATGATCTATCCATTGATGAAAATGGGGGTATTAAAGTCCCTTACAATTATTGTATTGCTGAAAATTTCTCCCTTTAGGTCTGTTAATATTTGTTTTATATTTAGGTACTCCTATGTTGGGTGTGTAAATATTTACAAATGTTATATCCTCTTGTTGGATTTGTATTTTTCTCAGTACTTTTTCATCCCATCATTTTTTGCTTTTTAACAAAGCAAATGCTTAGTCCAGTACCTGAGATGCAGTAATCACTCTAGTTATAGCAATTGTGCTAGTTAGTCACTGTAGTAATCCCTGTACCATTTATTTTTTTAGAGAAATTGTAAAGTTTTTATAATCATCTTTGCCTATCTTTTCTTTTGAAGGCTTCCATTATTTAAGTCATTATAAAAACATTATTTCTCCTTAATTGGGATAGCAAATCTATTTTCTAATAGTTTGTCTATAGTTTGATCTATTTATATTTATTTTGCTAATACCTGTAGAATGTATTTTAAGATATAGGTATTTGGAAATTTAAGATCCTGTTACCTCAATAATATTTTAATAGTATGTATATTTCTTATTATTTTGTGGCTTAGACAATCATATATTACATTCTTTTTTATTTTTTTATTTTTATTTTATTTTATTTTATTTTAAAGATTTTATTTATTTATTTGAGAGAGAGAGAATGAGAG